TTAAATGTGAATTGAATTCTCAAAACAGAATTATGACCATTAATAACCTTGCCATCCCAGTGGTTCAATATACTTTCAACATCTTGAACTGCACTCTAAATGATATCAAACGAATGGATTTTAAGACAAGAAAGCTTCTTTCTAAGCATAATATGCACCGTTTAAAGGCTGATGCAGATTGTCTATATATACCCCGTAAAGAAGGTGGAAGATGTCTTATTCAGCTAAAATTGTCATATAAGGCAACAACTATTGGCTTACTAACATACACGGAAACAACAAAAAACTAGGTGATACAATTAGTCAAATAACGCGAAATCAGAAAGAAATATTCAAACATGAAAGAAGGTTGTAAATATAAACGAGATTTACATTTAGTAGATTATCTAGAAAACTAAAACAGAACCCAAGAAACAACTGTTGCAGCAAAACTTATGAACAAAAAAGCCAAGGATAAAACTCTTGAACAGATTACAAGACAAACCTCTTTATGGCCATTATCCAGAACGTATATATGGTTACGAGCATCTGAGCTGAAACAGAAGGTTTATTCTTGCACAAGACCAAAAGTCTATTCACTAGGAACTTTCAGGCAAATACAAAACATAATAGTGTGGATCCAAAATGCAGGTTTTGTGACAAATATCAGGAAACGATAGACCATCTAATTGCAGGATGTTTTATACTGCGCCAAGTCAATATAAAAATCACCAGGATAGATTACAATAGATAGACAATACTTACACTGGACAATTTGCAAAGACTTTGGAAAAGACGTTAATAAACACTGGTATGAACATCACCCAGAAGACATCACAATTCCATGGGATTACACCATTTTACAGACAAGAAGATTGAGGCAAATAGTCCGGACATAACTGTTAAAAACCGAAAAGAAAAACTTACCTACTAATTGGTATGGCTTGCCCAGCGGACTGTAACATAGCAACCAAGGAATTTGAAATATTATCGAAGTATAAAGACCAGGAAATCAAAATAGAAAAATGTGGAAACTGAAAACTAGAATAGTACCAGTCATAGTAGGTGCGCTTGGAATGATAAAAAAGCAACACAACAACATATTGAAAAAATCCCTGGAAATCCCAGCTTAAGAGAAATACAAAATATTGTCTTGATAAGTACAGCCCACACACTAAGAAGAATTTTGTCCATGTTATGCTAGTGATGTTTTGAGAGAAAAACAAATCATGAAATGTAGCCACAACAACACACCGAAACCTGCCTTAGGTCTTTCCGCGGATTTGTTAGTGTTACGGGACCTTACCCATAACATAATGGACTATTCCATACGTAATAAATACTGCGCCTTAAGAGGAAGCAGGGAGTTCAGTCTGAAGTCTGGAGTGAAGTCCGTCAGGAGTCTGTCAGTCAGTCAGAACGAGTCAGTCAGTCGAGTCAGAGGCAGTCCGAAACATCCGCCTTCGAGTTCTTCTTTATTGGTTCTACCTTGGACTATCACCCGGGGTACAAGGAACCGGACCATAACAATGGCGACAAGCGATTCGAACTCATTCGGTGGAAGAAAACAAAAATTTTGTTCGCCACATCATAACAGTTAGCTACTGTGGCCATAACAGGAATCAAAATATAATAATAATAATAATAATGTGCTTTCTTATAGACATGGCAATCTCTGAAAGATTGTAATATATTTTTGAAGATCTGCAAAAATCAAAATACAAGGATCTTGGAGTGGAAATCTAAAAAATATGGCACGTAAGGACATCAATAATTCCAGTTGTAGTTGGAACACTTGGTTTAGTTGGGAAAGAATTCGATAGACTCACTGAAGGGATTCCTAATAACCCATGCCTCAAAGAAGTACAAAAAGTAAAAACTCACAAATAAATTCAAAAACATTTCGAAGGGCTTTATCGATGTAAAAATGCCTGTGATCTTAGGTTGTCTATATATTTTTTTCTTTTCGACAAAATGCTTAATAGAAAATGTCATGATGTCATTTTAGGACCTTAGATTCCTGGTTTGGACTGGGAAGTAAATGAGTATTCAAATGAAATCAAAGGAAATATTAATCATAAGATTATAAATTTAATAACTATGATATACCACTAGTTTTTCTGACTCATAATTTAATCTGTTTACGCATTTCAACTCTACATAAATTTTATCTGTGCATACACGGACATATTTTAATGAAAGTATATACACAATTTTACGGTATCATAGAGTTAAGTAAAATGATGTAACTAGGGCGAGTAAATACGAATAAGACAAGCAGAAAATACTATAAGAATTTGAACAATTGCGCGGTTGTAGTGTCGATGTTTGCCGATACCATTTGCATAAATGCCCACTAGAGAAGGAACACTTCAAAATGGACGGTAGAAACTACGTATTAGAGTAATTCCTATTTCCCACGGTCAATTACTCCGAATATCTTGAGTATCGATTCGTAAGTATGTATCTCCCTGACAATCTCGTTTTCTCAATTCTAACAATCTGTTAACTGACAATATACATTGTTTGTATTCACAAAATATCTATATACCGTAGAGAGTTTGAATGTTTGCGTAGTGTAGCGGCTATCGACGCAGAAAATGGGATTGTCTTGATATGTTCAATGTCCAGCTTTCGCAGAAATAGCCTTGGTTCAGTTGATTTTGCATATCAACACCTCTATTGGTTATTTAATGTTGAAATCTAAATAATTTAACACAATTTTATACTTTCAACTCCAGATATGCTGTACGTAATTTTATAGTTTCAGAGTAAAGGTTTTCTTTGTATTTTTTAGATATATAGTCTATAGATCATAAAATGTATTTTTAGTTATTCTACTATAAATATGTATTTTATATTGTTTAGCGTTGATAGTCATTTTGCTATAAAAATGTATTGTTCGTCATTTTATTATAAAAATGTACTGTTGATTTTCGTTTGGAGGGTTCACTCTTTACCCATAACTAGGACCCTAACAGGTGCCATAGAATGACAGAACTAATTTCAACTCGGAACTAATTTCAACTCTATTTAAAATCAAAGTTATCAATTTCCGTGAATTCCTAAACAAAATGCAATGAGTTGGTGTTCATTTTTTTTAATTTAGCATTAAAAATCCTTAGTAGATAAAATAATTCACAATTCATCTTTTCTGGAACCTTCATTAATTAATTCCGAGTTGAAATTAATTCCGAGTTGAAATTAATTCTGCACCCCGTGCTACCGCTCCGAGTCATGGTGGACCTGGGAACCAGAGCAATTAAGAGGTGGCCCCACGCTCTTCAAAAACACTAATCTCCAAATCAGAGGCCTTGCTGCCGGATGTAGTTTATCGTCATACCCATAATGAAATACCCTTGGCAAAACTATGAATCTATCTCTTCTATACGCAACTGTTGTTTAAACAGCAGGATAGAATGGGTACTCTAGATTTGGATGAATGAGACAGCATTTTAAAAAGTGTATAATTGTAATCAAAATGAGTACGAAATAATTATAATACATCTTAAATATTTATTATTCTCTATTTATGATAGTCTTGCTCTGTGAATCCGTCAAATTCATGACTTTAACTTATCCTATACACAGATAATCAACCGAGCAATTTGCAGTAAACCAGAAGTCGACGAAAAAGGCGAAGAGAGAGGAAAAAATAAATAAATAAAAAAAGGGAAGAGGAAAAGAAGTCAACAACCATGTAACATGACACTCATCAAGCGAAAAAAGGAAAAAATAACACACTCATATCACAATATATAAGTACAAAAAAATTGAGAAATATCAACAGAATAGTCCAACACCATTCCGAAGAGTAGTCACATATCTATGTCACCATGAAACTTCGAAATCAGAATGACGAAAATACTCTTCAGTTAAGTGAAAAAGACTTTTTCATATTAATTCTGTCTCTCTGTGTGTGTGTGTGTGTGTGTGTGTGTGTGTGTGTGTGTGTGTGTGTGTGTGTGTGTGTGTGTGTGTGTTTTTCTCTCTCTGTATATATATATATATATATATATTCGCATTAAATATAGTATTTTTCGCTACAAGAGACGGTATTTTAAAAAGTGTATAATTGTAATCAAATTGAGTACAAGATTATAATACGTATTAAATATTTATTATTCTGTATTTCTGATTGTCTTGCTCTGAGAACCCGTCAAATTCATGACTTTACTTATCCGATACACATAGAGAATCAACCGAGCAATTTGATCTCTTCAGTAATTGTAGTCAAAGAATAAAAACCTGTATTTCTGACCTGACTACAATCGGCGCTCTCCTGTTACATTAGGTAAAAGTTAAATTCCAAAATAACTATGGATATTTTATTCATATCTCCTTAAAAATAGAAAATTTTATATCTTCCTAAAAAATGTGTATAGAACCGAAGCAATTTCTAAAGTCTGAACGTTATTTCATAATCGTATTTAGCAAGAGTTTTCTTTTATGTTGTCTCAAGTTGCGCTTATATTTGAATGTTTCACATCATCGATTGAATCATGTCAACGAAAATCTAGAATGTTCAATAGTGAACGTCGGCCATTTATAAAATACCTATTCTTAGAGAAAAAAATTCAAACATCGGGTGACAATTTTTCGTTATACTCAACTGTATTCTGCCAAGATCCAACGTGAAAATTTTGAGAACCAAGATGCGACACAGTCTGAGAGATCTTCAGTGGTGTCAGCTCCTGAAACTGTTGATCATGGTCATGACCTTATTTTGCTCGATCCAAGAATTTTTGCCAAAAATAATTGCTGAGAGGCAAGATTTTTGGTTGGCTGATTCATTTCCTACGGCTTTTCAGGTTATTTAAAGGCAGAAACTATTTTTAGATCATAAGAACTTTTTTGAGATAATAATGGTTTAGTGATAAAATTCGTACTAACTAACCCATAGCTGGGGGAGAAGAGGTAGATTCATAGGTTTCCTAAGTGCATTTGCGCGTAAGTGAATATAAATGAACCCAACTAGAATTGGAATTCTCCAATTCCGAGACACCACCAGCACATCCAAGCTTACACCACCTGGTTTAACCAAACAGTCACCCATCTAGCTACTGACCAGGTTCGAGGTTGCTTAACTTTGGCGATCGTACGAGAACCGGTGCTTTAACGTGATATGGCCGTAAGCATTTGGTTGAAGAATAACTTCAAAAATTAAAAACCGGTTGGATGTAGCAACTCCGCTTCATGAAAACCTACTTGCTATTGAAACTACAGTAGCATCACCAACCCTGCTGAGGCTATGAACCTATATCCCAAAAGGAGTCCACAGAGTGATCGATTAATTGATTTCTTATTTGACTTATTTGTTGTGGCACCTATCTCTCTATCTGTCTGCCAAAAATTCTATTGACAAGAAGTGCTAGAAAAGAAACTATTAGAATAGAACTGACGGTTCAGTCTAGCTATTTCAGCAGTAAAACTATGAGACCTAGTTGCCAATCAAGTCGTACGCATAAATTCATACAGTCGAGGTGTGTCCTGGGTATGACGATAGACTAAATCCGCGTCCTGAGTAAGACAATAAATTACGTCCAACAGCAAGGCCTCTGATCAGGAAGTTTTTAGGAACTTAGAGCCACCTCTTAATTGCTGGTGTTCCCAGATCCACCCTGACACGGGGTGGTAGCACCTGTTAGGGTCCTAGCTATGGGCAAATAGTTAATCCCCAAACTGGGGTCAAAACGTTATGAAAGTGTAAAAATAGGTTTTAATAACCAGAAATTATTACCAGCGATACATTATTTCCAGCAAAACATTTTTGAAAAAAAATATTACCAGCCATACATTCTTGAAAAAAATATTATCAGCTATACATTATTGAAAAAAATATTACCAGCCATACATTCTTGAAAAAAATGTTACCAGCCATACATTCTTGAAAAAAATATTACCAGCTATACATTCTTGAAAAATATTACCAGCCATACATTCTTGAAAAAAATATTACCAGCCATACATTTCTAAAGAAAAAATATTGCCAGAAATATATTTTTGAAGGAAATAATATTACCAGCAATAATATTTTGAAAAAAATATATTACCAGCAATAAAAATTTTGTCGGCATTAAATAACCCATTGAGGTGTTTATATGCCGTATAACAAACCAAACAGTCAAGGTACCAAAAAGGAGAGCTCATTTGAACAGTTAACGTGAAAATTTTTTTAAAAAAGACACTGGAAAGCCACGTCATGTTATCGTTCCTGATTCCAGATCAGGGCCGATAACATGACCTTATATATGCATTGAATCTGGCTATTCCGCTGTTTATCGGGGATTGTTCGCTTTTGTTAAGTTGATGCCGTTTACAAATCGGAAATTGCAGACTGGTCTGCCACCAATGGAGATAGTGATGTGTTGATCTTAAAGTGTCTCTTGGATCATTTAAAGAGTCCGGGAAAAGGAGAAATTCGTCCCTGACACCAAGAGTATGCTTTGTACAATACTTTCCTCATACTGAAGCTTCTGATTATGTGCCATTGGCCATCATTCCATACTCGGTTTAAAGCTTTCTGGATGTATATCCTCCTGACGTTAGTTTAAACTGACGATTTCTTTTATTCTACATGTCTAAACTATACTTATAAGCTATGATATTACAAAAAGAAAATTCCACTAAAATATGTTACGAAATTACCAGTTTTTCATCTGAAATCAAGAAAAAACAAACTTAAAATAAAATGATCACAATGTACGAAACAAAGAAGGCGTTAATATAAACCATATTCACCTGGTGTCAGTTTAAACTAACACCTTCTTCTTACCATATACGTAAACTATAATTATCTTATAATAATTGTGCTTCTCCCCACCTTTTGTTAGTTCGCACGACAATTACGTCCTGCCAATATCTCATAAATAATAGACCATTCCGTTTCGATCACGTGGAAGGATAAGATATATAAGAGACGCTACATGGTTTCAGTGGAAAAAGAAAGAAAAAAGAAAGATATACGTGGTTAATATTTCCTGCTATTACCTCATAATGGACTATTCCTTTTTTGATCGCGTGAGAAGATAGAAGACATCAAAGATGATACTTGGTTTCAGTCAGAAAATGAAAAGAAAAAGAAAGATAGAAGTGTTTAACGTCTGTATCAATGAAATGAAAAAAAAAGGTTGTCATTTTTTAAATAAAGGGTTCCGTTGGAAATTCCAAAGTATACTACCTGAAGAAGGCCGAAACGTCGTGAATATGGCAATAAAGACGAGGACAACCGTCCGAATTATGTAAACAGTGTAAATATCAGGTCATTCCATAAGTTCTGTCCGAATTTTAACTTTTTGTTAAAATGAACGAAATTTAAAGAGTATTTTATAATGTCTAATGGAAACATTATTTTTATGTTTAGATGCATTCAAACTGATCAAATTTTATTTCAGAGAACAATAAAATTAAATTTTGTTTGATTAAAATCCTGCTAACATGGAAGTACCCAAGAATCATTTGAGGCACATAATGCTTTATGAGTTCAAGAAAGGAAACTCAGCAGCCGAAGCGGCTAGAAACATTCACTCAGTTTATGGAGAGGAATGTGTGAATGAAATAACTTGCTGAAGATGGTTTGCAAAATTCAGAGGTGGATATTTCACCCTTGAAGATGAAGATCGAACCGGACGTCCAGTTGAGTTTGATGAAGAGCTTCTTGAAGCACCCCTTGAAGAAAATCCTGCTTTATCAGTTGAGGAATTGGCAGTGATTCTCAGTTCAAACCATACAACTGTTCATCGTCATCTTCAACAACTTGGAAAAGTTCCTAAACTTGGAAAATGGGTGCCTCATGAATTGTCTGAAAACAACCTCAAATCCCGAGTTGACATCTGCTCTTCTCTCCATTCTCGCCAACTTGTTTCACCCTTTTTGGATAGACTTGTGACTGGCGACGAAAAATGGATCTTTTATCGAAATGTTAAGCGTCGTAGACAGTGGCTTGGTAAAGGGGAAGGACCCCAGCCACAGCCGAGAAGGGAACTTCATGGGCAAAAGGTTCTTCTTTCAATCTGGTGGGATCGCCAATGAATAATCCACTTTGAATTCTTACCACCTAATGCAACAATTAATGCTCAAATATACTGTCAGCAATTAGAGCGTTTGAACCAAGCTTTGAGGAAAAAAAAGACCTGCTCTAGTGAATCGAAAAGAGGTGATGTTTCATCAGGACAATGCGCGACCCCACACAGCAAGAATCACGTCACAAAAGATCGAAGAACTTGGTTGGGAGAAAATTCCTCATCCACCTTATTCTTCCGATCTTGCTCCTTCAGACTACCATTTGTTTCGTAGCTTACAGAATCATTTGAAAGAAACAGCTTTTGTAACACAGGAAGAGGTTAAAACTGACATTTGTGAGTTCTTCGAATCAAAGCCAAAAGAATTTTATAGTAATGGAATTAGTAAGCTTGTTAATAGATGGAAGGAAGTCATAGATAATCAGGAAAATACATTGTTGATTGAATCTGTAATTAAATGTAACATTTGGTCACTTGTTTTCTTTATTCAAAATTCGGACAGAACTTATGGGATGACCTGATAGTTACAATACCGCATCTCCGAAATATAGACAGAACTTCTGTCACTTTGTAGAATAAACATCCAAGAGGATGTTTCACTACAAACTAAACTTCTTCAAGGTTACAGTCAACCTATCCTACATATCTTCATAATATACACTTTCTAAACTCCTTCCTTTACACCTTTACAACAAAATCATTCAGTAACTCTTGGGTGGCTCTTGGGCCTCAAATAGGGTGAACAATAGTTCAAAAAACGCAGGAAGGTACAAAGATAAAAAAAACTAAGCAACAAACTCTGCACAGAGTAAAATCTCACCTGAAGATGACCGGGAAATTAACCGGTTGTAACCTTGTGTAGAGAAAATAAGATGAGATGAGTAAATAATAAAAAAAACAATATTAGTAACTTATTTGTTCTGTCTAAAACTTCAAAACACCTTTATACTCACACATAAATCAGTCAGCTTGAAAATAAAGAAGTACTTTGACGAAATACTAATATTGTTGCAGGTCTCACCTTCCCTTTCTCGTTCGCCTTTGAAGGCAAGCACACACGTACACGCTTGTAGACTCAGGCATACACGTGCACATACGCGCACACACCATTCTGTCATCATAAGCTAGCTTGTTCATGCATGACATTAAGCTGTAATCTCAGTCTGAAAGCCCCTTGACGAAATCTCTCGGAAGATCTATCAACGCATGCTCTTTCTCCAATTCAGAAAATTTTACCCGTCTCTTTCTTTCACACAAAATTTAAACATCCTTTCTCTCTCGCTCTTTATCACGCAATATCACTCTTTTTCCCTCTCTAGCTCTATCTCTCCCCTTTCTCTTTCTCGTTCTCTCTATTTGAATTCAGTTTTTATTTCCTTTTCTCCATCACTTTTTCCACCTCTCTCTCTCTCTCTCTCTCTCTCTCTCTGTCTTATACTGTCTTTCTCTACCCGCCTATTTCTCTCACCATTCTCCCGCTCTATCTCTCTCTTTCTCCCTCTCTGTCTCTATCTCTCCCTCTCTTTCCCCTCTCTCTTTCTCAATTTCTCTCTTTATACCTCATTCTCCCCTTCTCTCTCTTTCTCCCTCTCTTTCTTCACCTCTCTCTCTACCCTGTCTTTCTCTAACCGCCTCTCTATCTTTCTCCCACACTTTCCCCTGCTCTATCTCTCTCATTCTCCCTCTCTATCTCTCCACTCTCTCTTTCTCAATTTCTCTCTTTATACCTCATTCTCCCCTTCTCTCTCTTTCTCCCTCTTTTTCTCCCTATCTCTCTGTTTCTCCCACTCTATCTCCTTCTCTCTATCTTTTTCTTCCTCTCGGTCACTCGCTCTCTTTCTCCCTCTACCCCCCCTCCCGCTGGTAAATGATTCAAAGAAAATTTTCCCAACGTCGGGACATTTAGGCACTGAAAAATATTATAATCATCATTTTTTTCCTAATGACTGCACCTCGGTGTTTTCTGAACTGGTTTCGCTATTTTCATCTTATTATTAACATCTTTTTATGTGCTAAATTTCCTTCTTATTTACTCTTCGTTCTGACGTTTGCGAATTTATGGGAACTTGGCTTATTTTATAGATCATTAAAAAGAGAAAGGTTATGAGTTTTTT